CATTATAATTAAAATGGGTTTTTTTATTCGTCATTTACATCAATATATCGAAAAATTATATAATGAACAACAACAATCCAGCGCGAAAGCTACGGCGCCATTTACAGTATTCCGTGGGCAAGGTTTTTCAGTTGAAAATTTCGATAAAATGAAACAAACCAAAGGAGGGCTTATGTCCTTCAATAATTTCTTGTCCACAAGTGAAAATCGTCAAGTGTCCGTTAAATTTGCTCGAGAAGGAGCATCGAAAAATCCCAGTATGATTGGTATCCTCTTTATAATGACCATCGATCCGGCAATATGTTTCAAATCATCAATTCCTTATGTCGATGTTGGCAAAGATGGGTATTTCAAGGGCAATGAAGCCGAAATACTTTTCACAACACATACAATATTTCGCATCGATCAAATTAAACAAATGCAAGACGACCATACTAATACTCTATGGGAAGTCAAACTTACTCTTGTGGGTAACGACAATCATGAATTAAACGTACTTACAGCACACCTACGCCAAGAGATCAATTGGACAACAGGATGGTCTCGACTAGGTGGTATACTTATTCAACTGGGTGAGCCTGCAAAAGCAGAACAACTCTATCAGATTCTCCTCGAAAAAGCATCTTCTGATGAAGATCGAGCGGAGTACAGTCACCAACTTGGCCAGGTGTATGATGACATGGGCGAGTACTCGAAAGCACTTTCATCGTACGAACGATCACTTGAAATCTGGAAAATAGCTCTTCCTCCGAATCATCCCGACTTCGCTCAATCCTACAACAACATTGGTTCGGTGTATAATAACATGGGCGAGTACTCGAAAGCACTTTCATCGTACGAACAATCACTTGAAATCCGAAAAATAGCTCTCCCTCCGGATCATCCAGACTTCGCTCAATCCTACAACAACATTGGTTTGATGTATAATAACATGGGCGAGTACTCGAAAGCACTTTCATCGTACGAACAATCACTTGAAATCTGGAAAGTAGCTCTCCCTCCGAATCATCCCGACTTGGCTACTTCCTACAACAACATTGGTTTGGTGTATAATAACATGGGCGAGTACTCGAAAGCACTTTCATCGTACCAACGATCACTTGAAATCCGAAAAATAGCTCTTCCTCCGAATCATCCCGGCTTCGCTGAATCCTACAACAACATTGGTTTGGTGTATAATGACATAGGCGAGTACTCGAAAGCACTTTCATCGTACGAACGATCACTTGAAATCTGGAAAGTAGCTCTCCCTCCGAATCATCCCGACTTGGCTACTTCCTACAACAACATTGGTTCGGTGTATGATAACATGGGAGAGTACTCGAAAGCACTTTCATCGTATGAACGATCACTTGAAATCCGAAAAATAGCTCTCCCTCCGAATCATCCCGATTTCGCGCATTCCTACGTCAACATCGGGTATGCGTGTAATAAAGTGGGCATATATGCCAAAGCACTTTCATTTGGCGAAAAAGCACTAAATATTTATAAAAAGACACTTCCTTCAAACCATTTGAGCTTAGCTAATGCCTACAACAATATTGCGGAGGTATATAATAACATGGGCGAATACTCTGAAGCACTTTCATTGCATGCGAAAGCTCTGGGCATGCGCCAGCAAACGCTGCCTCCCGAACATCCTCACTTGGCTGAATCATATTACAATATTGGCCTTGTGTATTCAAATCTGGGCAACTACTCGAAAGCGCTCTCGTCGCATGAGAAGGCACTGGAAACCAGGAAGAAAACTCTCTCAGAGAACCATACGGACTTGGCAAATAGCTACTATGATATGGGCAGTGTGTATGAAAAGATGGGTGACTACCGAAAAGCGCTTTCATATTACGAACGATCACTCCGCATTAGACAAAAGTCGCTTCCATCAATGCATCCAGACACGATTCTATCGGAAAAAAACGTTGATAATGTGAAAAAAAAGTTGTAATTAATTTGATTTGTGCTACTCAAAATAAACAGGGTGTGTCTCGGAATGGTAAGCTCCGGATTTCATGTCCCTCAAGAAGATAATCATCAGTTGACTTCGATGCTGTCGTTTTTGTTCGAACTGAGGGTGTGGGTGAGCTTGTGGGTGTCATGTTGTCTCTATGCACACACCCAAACCCTAGTACACAAATGATCACCGCCTCTCGGAAGAGACGATGATCCGATGGACGCTTCTTGTCATACATACATAGATGTATGTTATGTAGGCCCACCATCTGTACGCCTGTACAGGTTACTAACAGAACGTCGGATATCCCTGGGGTATTGCCGATGTTCTAAAAGCTGTTGTTTTTTATGCATATGATCATAGAAATGAGTTACATTTGTTCATTGATGATTAATAAAAAATTGATGAATTTTAAATGAATTTATGATTTTTTCAATGTTACTCGACAATAATTGACATTCAGAAACAATATAAAATTAAAAATCTATTATATTAATTATGATATCAGGCATACAATATTGATAAATAAAATTTGCATCAACAACATATCCTTTAATCATTATATCTAAGGATGAATACATTCTATAAATTTGAAGATGAAATTTAAATTTTTAGATATGATTTAAATTATTAAGTATCCATTTCAAATAAGCAAACTCCAAATCTTTCTTTACAAAAACTTTTAAAATAAAATAGTCCAATTTTGGTACCTAGAATGATTAGAAAAAAACAAAAATCATTTTTTGAATAAATTGTTCCTGTTAGAAACCAATTTTCTCAAAGTTTGATGTTTACAGAATTCATACTAATTAAAATAAAATATTTGCAATTGTTAAAAACAAATTTCCAGTTTAGAGTCTATTAGTTTTCTTCGAATGTTCTAGACACACATGTCAGAGATGTTCATGATGCTGCTCGTACTATGATAGTGTCATGATTAGAACTCATTAACGGGTAGATTCAATTGATAGTCGAATATCTCGAGATGTTTTGTTTTCTAATGATTTTAAGAAAGATAAAAAGCTAATCATAATAAATTCATCTTACTTTTTTCAAACCAATTTCCATTTGATTTTATTAATGTTTCTATATTTGACTTGGATCAAGGTTCAAAATCCATCCATCGTTTAAAAGTGACTGATAATCGTTCAATATTAGGTATATGCTCAAAAAGATGTTCAAGAAAACACGTATATTTAAGACAAATATACAAATGTCGAAGCATTAAACAATAATAGTGCATTTTATTAGATATTGAACTTGCAGAAGAATGAGAAGATAGTATTAAACATTGATTGAATATTAACAGAAGAATTATCATCAGCAATATCAAGTCGAAGATATGTTAATTGACATTTATTAGAAAAAAATTGACGTATCAACTGTTTAAGCATCATTATTCGTTTCCCTAATGTAAACCAACGAAAAACGAAACGAAATAAAATATTCCATCATGAATATGATAAATCTAATAAATTATTGTAAATGTTCAAATAAATTCTACGTATTTATTTTATTCAATCAACTCAAATTCATTTGGTTTGTATTTCCGAGATGTGAACTATTGAAAACATACTTCCTATGATGCAATTAGACATGAGCAAGACCAATGGTTTTCGGTCCCACGGGAATATGCTACTCTTATCGAATCTTATTTGAGTTCAGGAAGAATAAAGTTGGGCTCACTTGTTGAGCGAATCCTGACTTTTTTTTCATAAAAAATTTAAACAAAATTTAGATCAAAGAACTCTCGAATTTCTTCGATATATCGCATTTTAATAAAAGCTTTAATAATTAGTTATGTATTATAAATTTCATTTTAAATATGTAACATGAACAAGTTTCTTGTAAAAAAAAAGTCGAAAATTTTTGCATCTACAGAAATGAATTAATCTAATTCACTTCTAAATAATTAATTAATTGTATGAGGAGCAATTCTTCACAGTTCTTCTGGTTTTCGAATCAATTCGATCATCTCTTCAATCGAATGTTAATGTAAGTTGATTCAATTGATTTTGAATAAGTAAAGATAATGTTTGAATTAATGATTGAGATAATAAATATCGAGTTATTTTAAGTGATTTGAGATTAGGAAAACAAAGAATTTGAATTTGTATCATCAAAATGAATACATTTAATAAGAGAAGAAAAAGATGAAGAATTACAAATTAATGGTAATAAGATTAATGAAAATTTCTTATATGATAAATCTAATTGATTAAAACTAATTTTATATTTATCTATTGGAAATATTGAATAAATAAGAAAATTAATACGTTTATTTAATGACCAAAATGATATTAAGATTTTATCCTATGATAAATAGCAAAATATATTTAGTAATATTTCATTTGGTAATGTTTCGAATTTATTTATCATTTTATCTCAAAATAAAAATGAAGAAAACTATTTTTGTTTTTTCTATTTTGTGAATCCTCAATAAATATCAGAAATCATAATGAAAGATTTCAAATTATCTCGATCTGGCTGAGCAAAATCAGTTACAATTCTGACACAAAGCGACAAGATAAAAATATAAACAAAAAGTAGTGTTAAAAATATTTTTTTTAACTATATGATTATCTTTTAAAAAGAAAATAGATTTTTAGCATATTGAAAATTTTATCTTCGTTATTAAAGTTTTCATGATGATCTCAGATATTTTACTTACTAGTGAATAATTCTTGATTGAAATATCAAAAAATAAATATAATCTCATCTTAATTTTAACAAGATAAAAAAAAATTATTTTTCTGTTAAAACTCAGTCTATATTAAGAAAAAAAAATACAACAACGATTTTTTTTCTTTTCTTCCATATTTTTAATAATAGAAGGAAAAATAGATGCCAATTGTATCATAGAATGGTCAATAATAACATGATGACGCATCTAGTCCAATATGACCAAGAAAAATGTATCCTCTCATCCATATTTTCTTCCCGAAGGAAACAACTCGACGAAAAATATACATTGAATGTTTTTTTTGTTTCATTGTAATATTGTCGTCTTTCAATGTTGACTTAAAAGAAGAAGACAAAGAATGCTCACGTGTAATGAACAATATGAGTAAATAAAATAACAAACAATGATCTTCGTATTTTTTTTTGCTATCTATATACCTATAGTTCACAGTCTTCAAGTAAAATATTCAGACATCAATTCTATATTTACTCAATAGTTTCTTGCATACTAATATTAATTGCCTACCGGCTTTTGGTTCATTCGATATAATATTTTTTTTGTTTATATCATCAACATTGTGCAACAAAAAAAAACACATGAAAACCGTTTGTTAATACAGGTGAAACACGGTATTTATGTAGTCTTTTAGGTATGCATTCACCCTTCGTACTTTACGTGTTTTTCGTGGCAACAGAATTTTGTGATTTGTGTTGTGATAATTTAGAGAATGATGAGTCGTTGAAAACTCGTTTAAATTGTCAGAGAAATTCATGTTTCGGAATGACACAAAAGTTTTTGAATCTTACATAATGTGAGCAGAAGTATTAATAAAAAAATATTCAACAAGACAAGATTGGATTCAAGATAAAATAGCTTGGCATCGCATGCGTAGAATCCTTGATGAGTTTTCACTTTAAGTTCTTTTTTGTTTATTAGCTATCTCGATTGAAAGTTGTCATTTTTCTGTTAACCATAATTTCGATAACCAAAAGTTAGAAAATATGCATATAGATGATGTTGTAACAAGATGGACTTGTTTAGGAATTGTTTCTCTATATGAAACTTTCATTATTTTTTACCGAGATAAACAATTATGTAGTTACTAGGATGATGGTAAACGTTTTACTTTTACCATTCATAACGTAAAAACGGTATACGAATTTCGTACAGGAAAACATTCCACATAAAACGAATAAATAGATTGATCCAATGATTTTTATTAGTATACTAGAGATTATCGGCTATAATTGAATGAAAACTAAATGATTATAATTCATCGAATAGTTTCTTGAGATATCCGTACAAAACAGAATATAAAATTATCTACTGTATATAGTGACAATTCAAGCAGTACTCTATAATATATTCCACATTCAAATCTGTAGTGTACCATATATATGCAAGTGAAAATTATTCATGATAAACTATTTTTCTGCAATCAGGCTTCATCTTTTAGAATAGTTGAAGGGTGCGTAGGTGTGAGCATAATTGAATGATTATAACTGACATAACGATTTGGTTGGATTTGGTGCACTCCTGATCTCAAAGAAACAGGGTTTATAATTAGAACCATTTTCCACTATTGTGATTCTAACGGGTGATTCATAAATAATGACCACAATTTATATTTCTTGTTTTTCTCGGCTAACTTTCATTTTAGAAATTTGTGCTTAGTCTCAAAAGATTCTTCTTTCATTTCTCTACAGCATTACATTACAACGTTTAATCTAAACTTCTTATTTAAAAAAGTGACCGAATAAAAGAATAAACTTATTAACCATTTTGTCGCACGCAAAAAGCTCTATCTTTTAGCTATGTTCAAACAATTTTCATATCAACAGCCGCTGCTCAGGAAAAGATGGTGGTGGGTGTGGATGTGGAATAAGTTAAAGACATGACCCACACCCACCCACCCTTCACCTACGTCATCACATAGGCGTCGCTAAACTTCTACTGAAAGAATAGCATCATGTTAAACATATGGTAAATGATTATACAAGGTATGATGTGTGGATCGAACAGTGCTATTTTTCATGCTTGTGTATAGTGAAAACAACCGAGATATATGAATAATTACAGTGCTCACCGACAGAGATTGCCGCCTGTGTGTTATTTTTTTTTTGTATTAATGCATTTCATTTGTTTAATGAATTTTTACACATGATAAGTGAGGACTTCGGTCTTTTCTACGAAGAATAACTTACTTTTTTATTGTATTAATCTGTTTTGTTAGAGATACAATCAGCTATACCTGTTGAAACAAACTTCCAAGAAAATCATCTATAGCAAAAAATTTTTGATAGTAATAGCGCTGAGAGTTTTGATTTTATTCCAAGAAAAACAACAACACCGAAAAAAAAGTATATAAGAATATTTATCACCAATTATTGAATTAAGTTAAATCAAGTGATGGACATCGTCCAACTTGTCAGTATTGTAACGTGGATTAATGATGAAAATTTTTTGCTTCATTATATGAATAAATAAGTGTTTTTTCGTTTTATTCATCTTTTTTTCGATAATTGTTGATGAAAATATCTCGTTTAAAAAAAATAAAATAGACTTTTTATTTTGTTTAGAAAAATGGTGATCGAATTATTCTGAGTATACATGATGTTACTATTCGTTTTACATTATTTCATGGTCAAATAAATCAAGATATTTGTTTCTTTGAAAATCTGAATAGAGTTCGAAGTTCAAACACGTGTTAAAATAGTTAAAAAAACAGTAAATAAAAGAGATTTCGAAATTTTTTGAATATTTTATTAGTGTTGAAAAAGATACAACAAACATTGATAATCTTGTTCAGTGGAATAGTAATAATCGTCTGTTTACTTCATCAAGTTCACGAAGACTAGAACATATCTAAAATCAAAAGAAATGTATGACTTATGAATAAATGAATATTTGTCAAAGAAAATAATACACTACTAGTGAATCACTGTATAGCCATAAAGCAACTCAAACTTCTAGACAGTTGCAGAGAACTTCTTCAAACTCTCTGTTCGTAAAATTTTTACCAGATTTGTTTGTGCTCATATCTACTTTATAGTCCTTTTAAATTTAACACTGCATCTCTGTAAGACGTTCCATGTAATTCTAGCTTTAATTCAGATTAGAATAATTTTACATAGTTTCACTTTTACTGTAGTTTTTCACACCAGAGAAAGTCAAAAATCTCTTGCTATGAAATTCTCTGAACAATAGGTTTGCACATGATTGAGTTTTCAAACTTGATTGCAGTTTCTATGATAATATAATAGCTATTTAATGGAATTTATTTTACGTGGTCTGCTTAATTATATGGTGTGCTGGAAAAATGTCGAAAAATAAATATTGAAATGGAAAAGTAGCGAACAAAGTGGTGTCTCCAGTAAATAATGACTCTAAGCAACTATAGTTCATTATTGTTTTTCTTATAATTCTACTAGTCTAGATTTGTAACCATTAGTAATGCTGATAAGTAATACCTGATATTAATTAACTAAAAGAGTCGGACAATGCACTATTATACAACTAAAATTCTGTTTTCATGGCTGCGGCTGCTCCATCTTCACCAGCTATTTTCATTGTAATTCAATGGCCTACAGATAATCTTCGTAAACGATATTATAACAGTGTTATAATTGCGATAGAATAATTAGATGGATCGTCATTTACGGTTGCTGAGCGAAAAAAAATGACACTTTATAAAGCTTTTCTTTTATTTCTTGACTTATATTTGATTTCAGTTAGAATGTTAGTATTATTCCACAAATAAAGCATGTCCCTCGCTAGTCGCAATTTTCTAAAATATTTTTCGATCATCTACCACATCGATATATTTTTTTTCGACATTTTTCCTTTCGACGTTTTTATGACCAACCAATTATATCCGCTTTAACTTTAATGTTGCAAAACGCAGTCTAGCGTAACTATTTCGTAGTGAATCGTTCAACGATTGTGTATGACAACAAATGTGAGAACGTTATGTTCCATTTTTATCTAAATTTCAATTTCATGCGTCAATTGTGAAAAAATATCTAAAAAGAGATTGAGAGATTATTGCTATTTCATTTGAATATTTTCTTAAAAAATATTCTAATTGAAATATAATTACTGATTGATGGAAACTTCATTATCAAATTTGAGGTGAATTAAATTGATTAAAAAAATTATAAAAACTTAATAAGAAATATTGATTCAGCAGTATCTGATTCATATCTAGAAATACAATCAATGATTGATTGTTCGCCTTTCAATTGAGAACTCTTCCAAAAGGTTTAGTACATCAAGAAGTAATATTACAGCCACTATACGTATATTCGTAGGTATTAAATAGTAATAGGTTCTTCAGAAAAAGAAACCTTTACTCAACATTAGAGTTTTCAATCAATGGACATAGCATCTTCTAAAAATTGTTGTTATGTTTCCACACATGTTCAATACATCAGGATATACAGTATTTACGAATAGACAAATGGATGAAATAAGCACAGAAACTAATATTTATACACCAATGCTTCTTGTTACTATTATCTGAAATAATATAGATGACCTTTTTTTTTCATAACTATCCATATTTAATTAATAAAAAAAAACTGAGAACGTTTTTAAGAGACTTTATATTAGATTGATTGTAGAATTTTTGGTGCAATAAATTGATGTACATGAAAAAAAGAACAATTTTTTTTAATCTAAAAATAAACCAAAAAATATTTATTTCAAGTTTTTTTCTGAAACACTTCTTCTCATACTCTTCTTTATCCCTGAAATAAAGTTAAACAAGTAGAAAAAGGATTTCAAGACAAATAGAACTTTTTCTTTGTTATATTTGTTTTTTTATTACTTTTTGTCTCATCTCCATGAGTTGGGAAGGTGAGATAGTGATGTCGCCATTTTTCCATCACCCAGATGTTATTCATATATCATGTAAAAAGCCAAACACTAGTAGCTCTTTATATAAATTATATTTGTCTGAATTTTTTTACAATAAAATGATTTTTTGAAATTCTGAAATATGTGCATCTGCAATAAATTTTTCATCTTATAATTTTATCATTCACAAACAAATTCGTTAATGAAAAATACGAAATTAAATTGAAACAATTGATGACACAAAATAGGAATAACATCTCGATACCTCCTTCTTTCGTAGCTATTGAAATAATACGAAATAAAAGCATTTGCTGCTGTTTTACTATTGGTTAGTATTATATATATAAATTGTTATGGTTTCCTCATATCTATTGTATTGGTGACAATTCAAAAATAAGCTCTCATTTCATGGCGTCAAATAAAATAGTTCAAAAAGAATGTTCACTAGAGAGATCTTAAAATATTTTCTATGCCATCTATTTATAAATTTTTTTCGAAAATAATAACTCATTTCAAGTGTGTGACTCGTCCTTTCTTTTTTTATAATCGAAAGAACAACTTCTTAGATTATTTCAGTTGAGTAATTGCTGCAAAGTCTGGCTCGACTTGTCAGGCAATTTGAATACATTTAGTTTATTGCTATTCGCATCCTCTCCGAATGGACCCAAAGATGAAAATACATTGAGTGATGGTACTGAGCCCATGGATGATGAAAAGTCTAGTGTCCCTGAAGAAGAAAGTCAACAATACTCAGAAAAGTGAATATGATACGGTTGATCTTCTAAGCTTACTTGTTTCGTTTAATATTAATAGACCTGGTTTGGCTGGTCCTATGAACTGGTTCGTTTGCATTCAGTTTATTCTAATGACTGGTTCAAATACAGAACTTAGTAAACGTCGTTATATTGATACTGATAGAATAGTAGATTGGCTTTCAATGAATAATACAGATATTGATGACGAAATAGATCAATTACAAGAATTAGCTAAACAGTATTTTCTGAATTTGTATATTTGTATTATTAATCAAAATCAAAAAAGCTATTACTATATGGATGCTACATCAGTAGAAGTAAATCAAACGTGGTCCCGTGCTTGTCTCGTATTTGACAAAAATAATCGAAGCTTTTATGCTTTTTATGTACGCAATAATAATTCTAAAAAGCATACAAAATTCTCGTTGGATGATACACATATTTTAAGATTATTCGAAGATTCAGTGGAAGCTTATAAATGGCCTGGTAACTATGACACAATAAAGGAGATGCCTGATCAGGATATATCAATGATTGATCAAGAAAAAATATCAACTGCTTCAATCGACTACAATACAGGTCTGGATAATAGTTCAAGATCATTTATATTGCAATAGTAACTTTTTATTAACTATTTATTTTCAGTTAATCATGAAAATCAACCGGAAACAATACTAAACGCTTCAGGTGTATGTAATTTACTTGTTCAAAACATACAAAATCTAATGAATTATATTAAACCTCAACTTGATAGTTTGAACTTTTCCTCTATAACTTCAAGTAACAAATGTTATCAGAGAAAATAAAGAATTGTTTGTTTTTCTTAGAACATCAACTTCCTGTTCATCACTTAATGTCGCCGAACACTATTCGCGAAGCGCTTACCTTTCAGCTTCAGAAACTATTAGAAATTTCAGACTTGGTGGCTAAAAGTTTCACAACTAATCGTAAGGCATCAACTTCAATAGAAAGTGCTGAAGCTAGTAGTATAGTTTCAAATGAATGTAAGTAATCAATAAATTTTTTGTAATTGATCATTAAGATTTATTTATTTAAATAGCATCGAACAGTCATGAAGAAGATATTCTGCCCAATGTTCGAATTTCTATTGAACCATCATTACCATGGAATTTTCAATCAACAACTTCTACCAATACAGATTCATTACCAAACACAACAAATATTATCCAACAAACAATTAAATTACCGAAACTGGTTTTACTTAATCAACCAAAAAGATTTTGGCACCATCGTGAATCAGCAACTTTGAGCAATGGATGCCCGGCAATTCAAGTTGAGGGAGCTCCTCAACGTACAGCTCTTCTGTTAGGGGTAAATTTATAACCTTTTTAATAGTTTTTTTCTCATTCAATCACTGCAGCTTCCCCAAGAGATACAAAATTATCAACAAGAATTTTATATTGGTACTCACGTAACGACATATAATGGAAATGAACATAAACAGAAGCTAGTTGTACCTAACAATACAAAGATTAAGAAAAATCATAAATCTATGTTGAATAATATAGGATGTTTAGAATTCGATGAAAAACAAAAATTTTCTGTTGAATTTGATTCAATATCAAAAGGTGTCTTTTCAAAGGTTGATTCAAATGACTTAGAAAATCTTCAAAAAAAGTTAGTAATAATAATTTCTTAATTATTAAGAACAAAAAAACATCGATTAACTTTGAAGATGATTAACTTATATCAAGACACAAATAATAATAAGAATATTATCAAAGAAGATAAGCTTATTTGGTGTAGATTAATGTTTGCTATTTATATTAAATTACGTATTGGTCAATTCAAACGTGTTTCTTTACCAACATATTCAGATCTTATTGAAGAAAGTATGAGAATTCAAACATCTTTTACTATTTCAAAGGTATTTCATTATAGCTCATACATCTCAGTCACTTGGCTTTGACAATATTTTTCCCAATGAACTTTGCGAACGAGGTGGCCAAATGATCTTTATTAAACTTAGAGAATCAATAGAAAAAAATAGTATGCCATAGTTTTGTCACTACTAATAAGACATTATACTTTAATTTGTTATAGAGTTATATGTTCATTGTAATGGTAAACTTCTTAATCAAAATGATTTTCAAGTAGATAAAACAATTTTATCATTCGAATCACCTGTATGTACACAAAATAGAAAGGATGTTGAAGTAACTGCACACATTGAAAAAACTCTTGGTTATACCACTTATACAGTACCATATCATCTTCATGGTATTATTCGTTTCCTATTTATATATAAAAAATAAATTCATTTTTATTTATAGGTGATCATTCTGAACCATGTGGAGTGATTAATGAAGACTGAATTCTTTATATATTTATATGCGAACAAATCTTCCGAAAAAAATCTATGTTGGTTTTTGTTTTTACATTCCTCTTTTTTTATATCTTTTTCGTTCTATAAGAAGGCATCAATACCTAACTTTATTGTTTTTGGTTGTAAAACTATTCGTCATCTTATATGTGGAACAATTATTTTATATATTTATGTTGTGGTCAAAATTAAAATTTAGTCAAATTTAAAATTTGCCTAGTTAAAATTAAAATTTCAATTTTGACTAAACGCAACTGAAATTTCTTTTTTGATGAATAGAAAAAGATAAAATCTTATTAAGAAATGGTATGGACGTGGGTAAATATGGATCTAGAGTAAAGATGCTACAAATCTGGAATACAATTGAGATATATGACCAATCGCATTGGAACTTGGTTTCGATTTGGATTTAAAATATAGATTTGCTTTTGGATCAAACTCACATAAACAATTTGTAATTTGACCACCGTTATCAAAGCGCAAACTATTTATACTATTTTTATCCAAGACGAAATCCAAGTCTGAATAGTAAGGATTTCGTGGCAAATCACAAAATCTTTTTCTTGTAGTGTTGCTTCTCTAATAAAGTAGATTGTTGTTGATGTTACCTTATCTTATCAAATCTTGAGGGTGTGGGTGTGGAATAAATTAAAGACATGACCCACAGTCACATCTACACCCTTTTTCGATCAACTGTTTACATGCTTGAAAATGACCGTTACAGAGACCGAAAATTTCCTTTATGTAATATATTGATCATATATATAAAAGAAAAAATTCATCTACATAACATACTTATTTCTCAATACATGATATGACATAAAATTTCAAGATATCTATTTAATATTTGAATAGATACATTAACAATCACATGAGTCTATTTTCACTTTCTGATGATCCAGAGCTTGTTAGACATCATGTTGAATTATTTTCTATAACATCACAAGATCGGAGAACACCGTCTGTAAACATCAGAAAAATCTTCGGATGTATTGATATCTCGACTAATAAATTTTCAACCTATAATACATAAAATGATAGACTTATGCCGATAGTAGAAACATGTTTATTTTATTCACCAGATGATAATGAATCTTGGCTTGTGCACGTTCAGTTAGTTTAAGATCAGATGTGTGTATGTCACTCAATTGCACTCTTATCCAGTTAGTTTAATCTTATAAACATATATATTGTTCTTTATTTTTTTTCATTAATTTGATTCATCGAATTTATAAACAAAAATAAATGTAAACACAATCGCAACACATGCTTATTATCGAAGATATTTGAAATTGATTGTAGACCAGATGACCGCGATAACGACGCAAAGATAGTGACCATATTATTTGACTCACTGCACAATTACTCTGCATGCTATTGAAAATTTTCTTCGTAGATGGATAATCATTGAAGTATACTCTTTCAAATGATATGAGAATGAGCTTTCTTCAATGAGTAATATCTATTACTGCGTATGCATGTTGTGTATATCATCCTTTTGCGTAAGTCTATTGATTTCAGTTAGAATTATTATAAAAAATTGATCAAATATCTATTAAGTAGTATATGAGTAAAAAAATCTCATCTATTATTATTTCAAACAAAGACAATCAACAGTATATTTGATGATATCCTACGATACAACCAATGAATAATGTCGTTCTTCTTGTTTTTGCATAGTTTATTTGTGAACCGTTTTATTGCAATGAATCGAACAAACAAACCGCATGACTTATGTGGCCTCCTCCTTCTCCTCATCTAGCTGCTTGCTACACGCACATATCTACTGCTATGTATGAAAAAAAAGCTTGACCATCAAGAACAACATGAAATAGTAATCGATCGATCGATCGATCAGTAAAGTACTTGCAGCATACCAAAGGTAGTGGTGAAAGCACTTCAATACCGTATAGAAAGTATTAGTAATAAAAATACTACTCAATATTTTTTCAATATTTCATAATAAACAGGTCTTCTGGAAATTTTATTATTATGATATTAGTTGAATAGTGATTAAATATCGGAAAAATCTAGAGTACCATTTCTACTATCAATACATATTGAAAGAAAGGTTTCTCAATTTTATAATCAAAACAAATTTCCATCAATTTATTGTCTAGTTTTATCAACATGTGTATATTTTTTCTTAACAGTTGATAAACTCACTAGGTATCATTTAAAATATTTAGAAATCATTTATCATCGTATACCTGTATATCATAATTAATGTAATAGGCTTAATCAACAAGTGCCTCATGCTGTTTGTTGATTCATAGATGCAATAGTTGAATCATATGAGCCCCTCTAGAGTATTTTATAAAGTTTTAAAGGAATAAATCGATTTTCATGAAACGCATATCTATAAAAAAAAAAAACTTACTTATCAAACAAAAGAAGAAAATGAATAGAATAATAAAGATTCATTCAACTTATCGATTTGTTAACGAGGAAAAAATAATAAATTATTCGTTAAATTCCTATTGCTATACTACATCAAATCATGTTTGCTATACTAAAAACCTAATTTCATGTATTATTCTCAATCAAAAAGTGATATAATATCAATATTTTTTCTTGATTAGTAAAGAAATATACTTGAATTTCAATCATTATTTCTCTATTGTCATTCGACATATTCTTTAATTATAATTCAATAAAGTATTAGAAATAAGGATAATGATATCAATAAGAACAGTGAGAAGGTTACTCGATTGTTATAATCTCTTTTCATCTTAGACCGAAAAAAATTTTATCCTCTATTCAACAACAACTACCCTGAATACAAGGTGATCTGATACGTTTGCATTCAAATATGACCATGACAAATGTTGTCGACGTCTTTCCTTGTATAATAGATCTCTATGGATTCAAATTGAAAATGAATAGAATAAAAAAAATTAAATGTTATCTTGTCAATTGGATGCATATTCTAATAGAACAAAAAAAAATGTAGATCTATAATATAATGCAAGAAAAACGGGTTTTTTTTTTTTCACATCATTTTTACATCTACTATTCATGATGTTTATAGTCATGAAGGACAAACCACTTCAAGAATGACGATTCATATTGACAATTAATGTGCCTAGTTGATTCCATTTTTTTCAATTGAAAAAAAAATATGATTATTGAATATAAAAGAAAAATTTTCATTGATGATATAATTTATGGATATAAAAAACTTGTCCCTTCAAATGATAATTTTCTCCAAAAGTAGACTATTTTATGTTCATTATATCAAGATCATTAAAATTTACTGCTGTGAATATCAATATATGTCTTATATTTATTATATACTAAAAAATTTCTTGTTAACAATATTTATCTTACTAATAAGTTTGATTATAATCTTTAAAAAAGGAAATCATGCACATAGTTATCAATGTTTATTTATTTATTTGTAATAGAAGCTAAAAATAATTCTCAAGATTAACTATTTAGTTACTAGTCTATATTAAAAACAAAAAAAAAATTGTTTTATGTTATATATTAAATATAGAAGGATATGTACTTGACAATATGTCGGATAGAAAATCAAATTTTATTGATATTATTCGACATACTCAAGAAATATTCAAAGGTGTCAAACTTTACCATAGATGAACTGTTCAAATAAAGATTTTTTTTTTCTTCTTCTTCTTCTCGTCTTTCTTGTCTTATTTAATTGATCCAAAGAAAGAAAAATACATTAATAACAATTCAAATAAAGATTTTATATTGCGAAGTTCTCATATATCTGCATTATATCGATTGTATCATCGTCAATGAGAAGTAACACAATAATAAGCAAAACGAGATTTAGCTTGTTGAGCCTAGATTTATGTATGTGCTTGAAATTTATTGCTTTATCAAATTGTTGTAACTGGAGCAGCCTTTGGGATTAAATGAACAAAATCGTTATTCGTGCTACTGTTCAGTTCGTAATCATCCTATGAGTATTTATATATCGAATATCTATATATACACATATTCAAAACGAGAAAAGAGAGAGAGAGAGAGAGAGAGAGAATGAGATGAAGAAAAAAAGCATTTTATCAAATCCTTTATCTTTCCTTGAAAACGTTCTATACTTTATTTCTTTTGAATCAGATGTTCTTCATCTTCTTCTTCTTCTTCTCTTTTATACAATTTCATCTTGTAAATTGGGCTTCTTTCATTTTTCTTTTCGTTTAAGGTAAGCTCATCTTTATCAAGGACTTTGAAATGATCAACTATTTTATCGTTATATATGACTAACTATTCATAAACAAAATATAAAGAAGAAAGAATGAGAGAAAGTCATATAGATGATGCAAATAACCAAACAAGCGTATAATTAGTGCAGTCGTAGTAATAGTTCTCGTTATGATGATTGCGTAGAAAAACGAGAAAGAAAGATTCAAAATATGAATTGTTTGTATATTTTGTATATATATATATATGCTCACAACAGGTATATATGCATAGACTCGTTATCAAAAGAATAACTAAAGAAATTGTACAAGAACAAAAAAATAAAAGGGTGGAACCGTCGGTCTATATAAGGTCTCCGGTTCGTTTTTTTTAAACTATTATTTTGCACATGATTGCTACGTTTCAAACCTTTTTTTTTCCTTGTTCTCCTAATGATTCGTTCTCCTCCCTTTCTTATAGAATCTGTTATTCTAGTTGATCAATACCCAAAGGCACATATATATATATATGTTAGTATGGTAGTCAATATATATGTTCGTTCTCCCTGTTTTTTTTTTCTTTTGGTATGCATATACAAAAGACTTACACCTCATTTTTTAATGTCAATGAGGAGAAAAAATGAATGACGATTTATTTTTTTTTCTCTCTTTTCTTTTTTTTCTGAAAAATTACAGAAGACAAATTTGTATATTTGCATTTTCTTCTTTCATTTTTTTTTTCTTCTTCATTTCATCTGATAAATGATGATAAATGCCTAGTCATTGAAATACTATATTATAAGCCTATACTATTTTGTTGTTTTAATCATGTGTATACTG